TCGAGCTCGGTACCCTGGGTTTTATTATAATAATTTATTGTTTAATTATAATAGTATGTATCTCGGTAAAATAATTACAAATACTTAAACGAAAGGTTTGAATAAAAAATCTCAAGATTGAAACAATTTCCCGATAATTTGCATGAAATGTAAACTAATTAATCAACTTGTCTAAAGAAAGTGATTAATTGATGAAATGACAACTTGCCGGAGAACGAACAGGCATAAAAGGGATGGAAAAAAGATTAACTCATTCTGAAAATGAACGCGAAGAAAAATGGAGCGATCAAGAAAAAGATCACATGGGATATGGCTGCTCAACTTGTTGAGTACGCCACGGCAACTGATTTGAGGATCATTGACCACGAAACAAATGAGAGGATCTGTGCCATCTTAAATGTTAACAAAACCAAAGCAAAAGACTTACTCAACGTGTTAAGAAAGAGAATGTTGAACAAAAAAGACAGTGTTGTCCGACTTGCATTAGAACTGATGCAACAGACTCTCACAGAATGTCCCGATGTCGTGGAATTCTACGCAACAGACATGTGGCAAGACTGTTTCATCACAACAGTCTTGAAGAAAAACGTCATGATAGATACTAAAATGAAACTGCTAAGCATCGTCAGAGGACTCGCGGAACAATACCCAAGCATGTTAATCTTCGTGGACACATACAACCAAATGAAACAACATGGTATCGAGTTTCCAGCAGCAGCATCGTTTAGTTTGTTTTCCTCAACAACAACTTTTTGTTTTTTATAACAACGAGATGGGTATTGACACAAAGTAAGAAAAGAAGTTGAGGAGAGTAAAGTACCTAAGTCAACGTTTATGGAGGACTGCGAAAAGCTTCGACAGTACTGTGAAATACTGAATCAGACGTTCGACTATCTTACAATTCCAGAACTGAAAGAATTGAAAAATGACGAACTGACCATTGAACTTGTTGGGAAATTACAAAGAGCTGTCCCAGTGATTAATGACGTTCTCTCGAAAAGGACGACTGGCTCTGGGATAAGAGAGACGCTTGAGGTCATTCAGACACAAGTCTATGACACGTTGGCGCGTCACAAAAACTTGACAGAGAAGGCGGACCTTGTTGTGACTGACAAAAAGCTAGTGGAGAACACGGAGTTCATGTATGAGTCGAAGAAGTTCCGTTAAAGGGCTTCTTTTTGCCAATTTAATTTTTTATTTATAATTATCTAGTTGATTTTGGAAACTTGAAAAAATTGCAAAGAAAAAACAAACCGGAGAACTCTGAAGTCATATTTTTATGTCAAGCGAGGTGAAGACATATTCTATCGAGGAGTTGTATGCTCTAAGGAATCAGAAGCTCAATGTTGGAGTCACCTTGATGCACAAAAAGTCGAAGAAATCGAAGAAAAAAGTGCAACAAGACAACTCCTCACCCGCCGAGTTTTTTGTTTGTTGTTTCATTTTTGTTCACGTTTTTACGACTTTTTTTCATATCACAATCTCATAGATAGGAGCGTTATCGATGGATCATGCACGACGTCGTCTTGATAACCAAAAGTGGTGAGACGAAACTGAGTGGGAGTCAGTTGTATGAGATGTTTCTTCAAGGGAAGTTGCTACTCCACGAATGTACAGTAAAATCGCAAGACACGAACATTCCATTTGTTCTTCAGCTTAAAAAGTGTGTAGACATATACAAGAAGATATTAGACATTGATGCCTCGAAGGAAGAGGAGCGCAAGAGTTTGTTTTACAGTTTTTCTATTTTTTTAACATTCCAAAAGCAGAGCTCACAACTCACCTGTAGAATTGAAAGAAGAAGAAATGAAGAAACCAAAGGCGGCTAAGCCAGTCTACAACGAGCATGAAGTTACTGAGCCTTTGTTTGATCCACTTGCCGAGTTAGAAGGAGTCGACTGAAATAAAAAAGTGTTTAAAAATTTCACGTGTTGCTTTGCACTTCAATAGACATTAGATTTGCACCAATTATTACTTTCTTCTTTCTCTCTTAATAGTATAGTTAAAGGTATTAGTAAAGAATTAATAACTAACTCGAAAAGAAAGGAAGTGGTCAATCAAATCAAGAGAAACTGATAAATCCCAAAGCAATTGATGAGCACCGTAACTGACTTGGGATGGTGGAAGGTCCACAAAAATGATGTGGCGTACTTATACAG